TCTCTCTCTCTCTCTCGCTCGTGTCTCTCTCTCTTTCTCTCGCGTTCATGCCCGCACCGAGAGGTGAGTCCAGATTTCGACTGGGCGGAGTCATTGCAAGGGGCCAAGCTCCACATCAGCTACTCGACAGCACGGGGAGTAAAGTTTTGTGTCCGTTTACGCACCAATCCCCGGGAGCTGCAGAGGGAGCGATCCATCGGGCGAGCATTGCCAGCAGCGACAGAGACGATGAAGCAGAAACTGATACCAGTACTGTAGTGAGCGAACATCGCTACGAACCACCCAAGTCGAGGTGTGCCATATCGATCCCGCTCCTCACGATTCCTGGGTGCGTGTGAGTCTTTGTGCGGGTGTGTGTGTGTGTGTGTTTCTTGGCGTGCCTTGCGATGTCTGATGCTTATAGGCTCCTGGCTGCAGACCCAGGCAAGTGCGAGAGAGAGAGGCCGCATCGCAACAGACTCTTGCAGTTTTGCTTTTCGGGACCCTGCCTCCGTATGGCGTGAGCCGGGTGCGCACCGGGCGGGGTAGGGGATCTGCCCCCATGAATCCCCTCCCATGAAGAAGACGCAAAGAGAGTGAGACTAAGTTTCTAATGTGCTTGCTTGACTTGGTTGCTGGACCGAGTGGAGAATTCGACTACCCAATTCATTCACCATGTGGATAATTAATCCCGGCCCCACTACTTGCAGGACAAGTTGGTTGAGAGGAAACGACTCATCAGTTGATTTGTGCGAAGAGCTTGAGGCCAAGAAGGGGAGGTGTCCTTGGAAGCGCCACGATGCAAAGAGGAATTGGGCATCCGCCTTTCAGAGAGCGAGTGGAGCCGGGTTCTCAGCTCTTGGAGGCTTCAAGGTAAGGTTTGTGCCTTTGGGCTTCACGGTTTTGGGGGCTTTAGGCTCCGTGGAGTGGTGATGAAGAATGGGCTTTGGGTGCGGGATTCTTGTCCCTGTAGCCTCGACTTGAGGTCAGCTTCTATGCCTTGCACCCCCCAAGCAGGGCGTAGCCAAGCTGAAGATCTGCGGCCGAGTGGATGCTGTTCTGCAGCTTCACCGGACAAGCAGCCCGGCAGCTCAAGGAAGCATGTATTGAATGCTATTGCACTTGCATGCAAGTGTATGGGTTTCTGGGATTGACGTCATCTAACACTGACACCGAAGCACCGGCGGAAAGAGCAAGCAGGAGCAGCACCGCAGTGTTTCTACATCTCGTTGTTGACCATATGTATGCTTGTCATTTGGAATACGACATCTTACCCAGAGAAATAGGCGGCCCAACTCAACGAGGGGTGAGGTCTTGTCTCGGCGAAGGGTGGGACGAGGAATGGAAGTTTGCCGACAGTCTCTGAGCGATTTTGCGTGGTCTGTTGAGGCAAGATTCTGTCTGCTGCTGATTCTGCGGCGCGGATCACCCAAGAGGAAATCAGTCGGCAACAAGATGCCGGCAACAAGGCGAAGAGAGGCACCAAGCTGTTGCTTGTGACATTGGCTTGCCTTTGCCAAGTCGGAACCATATGCAGTGGCAGTTGCGCGGCAGGGGTCATTCGGCACGTGTAGTGTCCTGCTTGCCAGGACAGCGCAAAGCCGAGGCGCGTTGTAAGCTTCCATTTATTGCGACCCCAGATTACATCAGAACTCCTTGGCTCCATAAAAGGGCGATTCGCCTGCCATTGGTAGTCTCGGGTCGCAGGCAAAACGGCGTGCAGAGACTCGCAGTCGCTGCCAGCTGCCGTCCTTATCGGATGCGCTATGTGGAGTGGCGTGGCTGCAAAACATTCCGTATCACATTGTTCGGTCCGTGAGAGTTTTATGCAGACATAGAGTTACGACCACACTGCTACTGCTGCTGCTGCTGCTGCTACTACTACTACTACTACTACTAGTGCTAGTGCTACTGCTACTGCTACTGCTACTGCTACTGCTATCGATTTTGGACTATGGTGGTGACGAATTTATCAGTATTACGAAGGTTGCTGCAAGCCGAAAGCTGTGGCAATGATGGATTCCAGGACTCGTCATACGTGAGCCGAGATACACAGAGTCTTGGTGCTACGTGCTCGCAGTAGCTGAGGTCGCTTGGGACTTTGGGCGAGAGCTGGAGCCCATCTACCGAGAGGACTTGAGCAAATGGGCCGCCTCCCGCCATTCCTAACTACCCAACCCCCTGATGAGGATGCCTGGGATGGCAGTGGCCACGCACCAGAGGTAGTCAGGCGAGAATCCACTGGGAGCAAGGGCATCCCCGCCGAGATGTTGGGCTTGAAGCTCAAGATGAAGGTGGGGAGAGGGGACCCGGTGTGGCTGTTTTTGTTAGCCACTACATGGGTTCCTTGAAAGCAACTATACCCCTGTCTTGGTTGAGGTCGTTGAACTGGAGGCCGGCCAAAGCCTGAAAGTTGCCTTCTGGAGCATGGGCAACTTTTGCTTGGATGGCCTGGAGTCGGTTACTTTTACCAGCTACCAACTAGAACGTCCGGGTGCAAAGGGCAAGACGAGGCTCCAGCTGACCGGAAAGGCTTCAGATTCACCGGGCCTCCACGTTTTGGGACATCCGGCGAAGGTCTTCCCGCCCTTCGATGACCTGACTTTGATTGCCGTGCACCTGCCGGACTCCCGGGAGCTTCAGATCTGTCCCTGCGCGCTCTTCAACATTGAGATCGACCGCCAGGGAAAGGGCTACTCAGACCCGAATGATCCCGTAAACCTCAACAGAGAGGTTGAGCCCGTTCCGGAAGAGGACACGGGCCCAATGACAGCCAAGCAGTACCGGGACAAGCGCAAGCTGGCGATTGAAAGTTTTGGTACTGCAAAGAAGATGAGAAGCTTTGGCCAAGTTGCAGAGCGTTTGGACAGGGACCTGGAAGTGGCAAACCTTGAGCAGTACACAGGGAGCATCAGTGCAAGAGTAGAGGAGCAACTGAAGCTAAAGCAAACTGCCGAAGAGAAGGACGAAGAGACAAAACGGGAGGTGCTGCCACCGTTCATCCGCTCGGACGACCCCCAGAAGATCTACGTGGAACCTTGAAAGTAACAGCTCTCCTGTTCAGTTTCCCTGGTCACCAGAAATGAAAGTCTAAAGCTGAACCCCCAAACCAACAACTGCTTTCAGTTAGTTAGAGTCCACAGTGCCCAAGTTTTGAATTCACCACCAGCTGCCAGGACGGCTTGCAGAGCATCGTGTCTGATGAGGCCCTGGAAAACGAAGAAAGCCTGCCAGCGGAAGGCCACCTCTCAGACTCTACCTGAACAGTCGTTTAGGGTTTAGGGTTTTGGGTTTAGGGGTTTAGGGTTTAGGGTCTATCATGACCAGGACCCTCCAAGTACCTTCAAATAGGGGTATATGGTCCCAAATTAATGGTTTTTCGGGTCATTTAGAGGGTAGATGGAGGGTCTAGGAGCTTGTTTAATTATGAACACATTAAGTTGCATTGCAGTCTGTTGAACTAGAGGATTTCGGAGGGAGAGCTGGGTTGAAGCTATCTGAAGCTGTTGATGCCTGGTTAGGCTTGAACCTCAAGGCCAGACCGTGTCAGACAATTCCCAAGCGCGGAGTGAAACAGAAGCATAGTTTCATGAGACGCGTGTTTCATTGAATTCGGTAGGCTTCCGTAGTGGGCTGGCTAGAAACGAGACGTGTTTGCCAATGACGCAAACGACCTTCATCCCGGGCCATGTCGATTGTGACGGGGCAGCAGTGGAGCCCAAGAAACTTGGAGCAGCATCTGCAGAGCCTCCATGCACCACCGAAGATCGAGAGGAGGAAGACTTGGAGAATGCAGGCATGATCGCCAAGCAGCCGAAGCAGCCGGGAACCGTGGAAGACACGGAGCCTCGCTCCTTTTGGATCGCTTGTGGTGTCCTTGTGCACTTGGCATGGGGCACCTATCCCGTCTTCGCTCGCTACACGCAGGTGATGTTGCACATGGATGGCTTGCTCGTGCTCATTGTGGCAAACTTGGTGTCCTTCGTTGTCGTCCAGACCGTCACCTGCCATGGCCTGGGGGATAAGGCCGGGAGGAAGGTTGGGATGATGTATGCCATGCTCATAACTGGCCGTGGAGTCACAAATATGTTAACCAGCAAGTTCACGATTGCGTTGTACACCGGCATCGTGACCCAGTTCGCCCCCTTCATAGTTGCAGGGGTATCCTGGGTGGCCTTGGGAGACCAACTCCCGCGCTGCATCCTGCCATCGCTCATCATCTCAACCCTGGGTTCTCTCTTCGTCGTGCTGGGCCAGGCTGATGTGGGTGTTTCGGTCTTTTCCGTCAATGATGGCATCGGGATTGGAATGGCAGTAGTCTCCATCTGCGTGAGCGCCGGGATCCGTGTGACGATGAAGGCGTCAAGCTCGTCGCTCTCTGGTTTCATGCTGAATTCCTGGCAGTACATGAGTGCTGTTCCACAGGTGCTGTTGGCGACATTCCTAACACCTCCAGGAGCCTGGGTGGAGACGATGCATCTCTCATCGCATCAGCTGGTGGTGCTTGGTGCTTTCATCCTGGTGCTGCCGCTGGCCGCGAGCTACGGGCAGGTTACTTGTGTCCGCAAACTTGGGCCTTCTCTGGATGCTTCCATTCAGCCAGTGCGATTGCTCTCGACGATTGCTGGAGGCTATCTGGTGTTAAATGAGCCTGTGAAGACAGCCACTGCCTGGCTAGGGCTAGCAATCATCGTCATCACCCTTGTCGTGTACTTGGCACTGCAAAACAAGCCAGCGGCAGCACCAACTGGATCCACTCCACAGGCCAGTGCGAAATGAAGCATGGAAGCATCGCATTCTAAGCGCCTGATTCCAGTCCCTACTCCCCAAGCAGCTTTAGTCCGGATTCGCGCATCGTCCGGAAATGTTGGGTCAAACAACAGCTCGAAGAGCCACATGCGTGTACAGTGTACAGCCCCCCTTTCAGAACTCAAGCGCTGAAGAGCGCGCGCTACCTGCCACTTACAACATGAGATGCGGCACTTGTGCATGCTGTCACCTGCGTTGGGTAGTTCTGTAGCTGGCTGTGGGACGCCGAAGTACCACGATTGTCATCTAACAGCAGGTCTGTGCCTGTTTAGCTTGTGCCATGGTACACTACAGCTCCCTGTCGCATCATGCTTGCATGCAGGTTTCAGGGCCGGGCCCAGGGCTTAAACCATTCTGGATCGGGATCCCCCTACCTGTAGGGTCCAGGATCGAGCAGGACAGGATCCGTACACTGTCCAGGCAAAGGAAGGAGATCCGACCCGCTGAGAATCACCGAGGAACTCCCTCCGACGCCCTAGTCCAACATAGGCCTCACTCACCCCTTCACAGCGCAACAGCCCCTAAAGCCTCAACCCTAAATCCGGGCTAAATCCCGACCTAAGACCACATGTCTCGCCTGGATTGTCGGAGTGTGAGCGTCGACAGCCCAAACCCTAAATCCCTAAACCCCAAACCCCCAAACCCTAAACCCATCCTAAACCATGCTGCTCAGGTGTATTGGGCCTTGTGGCCTCAAAAAAAGGCAACGACGTGGTCGGACTCGGGGAAACCAAGGCCAGGCTCGGACTCTGATGGCTCGAAGGCCTTGGTCTTGTACAATACAGTACATAATATATGTATGTATGTATGCATGCATGTATGCATGTATGTAAGTATGGTAAAATTATGGTATATGGTGTCTGCCTGCTGTGGCTGTTGTTGTGCTTAAGTACACCCTGCATGCTCGATAAGTAGGTGAGGCTTTGTTCGCTTCTGTCTTCCAAGTCGTACTGTGTCAGAAGTAAATTACGCATAAAGATTTCGCTGTAAATTCCATCTTGCAGTGTATTGTTTTCTCAGGTGTTAGTATTGTGCTCATACGTGTTTGCCCAGGGACGGAGGTTCACATAGGAAGTTGGTGCGAAGGCTTGCTTGTTTCCCAATTTCAAGAGTCAAGCCCCCAGTTTTCAGGCGGGATGTCTTTCAGCCTAATTATTCACCAACATGAACCGTGGCAGTCTTGTCTTGACGTGAGAGCATGTGACCAGAACCCGTTTGGGCTGCAAAAGCCCCAGGTTTAAAAAAGTATAGACCCTAAACCCCAAACTCCTAAACCCCAAAACCCCTAAACCCTAAAAGATTCAGACTCGAGTGCCAGGGGAAGGAAATCTGCGGATCTGCCCTGGCTTTCGCTGTGCTCAAAGCCCGTCATACCCAGGGGGCCGGCCCTGCGGAGAACCCGTAACATGGCCTGTCAGTGAAGCACCACTACCATTATAGACTAGCAGCGATATGCAACAGAGACCGACTGTGTAGACAGTTTTGAGAGTGTGGGCCTGGAGCACCAGGTGCCCGAACCTTGCGTATAAGTACGTGACAGTACAGCACACCATCGTCAGCATGCGGTGGAGTTTGGCAGAAGATGTAGTGCATCCTGTCGCAGTGTACAGGTATGGACATGCTGCAGTAGTAGCGCTGTGCGTTGTAGCAGGATCCCTGGCCACCGTTTGCTGTAGTATAGTCTTGCGTGCAAAGTACGGCTGTCCGTTTATCCACGACTTTGGGACGCCTTCTTTCTCTGAGGAAGCTGTTCGCCAAGAAAATCGGGGTGCTCAACTGGCTCGTTACCCTTTGCAACAAGGACGGTATCTGTAGTTTTCTGAAGCTACACGAGGGTTTTTGAGCTTCAGGCACGGCACTCTTCGATAGTCAGGATCCGGGCCGGCTTTTGCTTTTTGTGTTAGGGGGGGCGGCTTTCTGCTCGAAAGGTCGCAAAAAAGAGCCCACATGCTCTTTGGAATGTCCCTTACAGCTGACTTGAGACGCGGCCTGAAGACAACTGCGTCAAATGGGAAAACACAGGGCTTATTAGGCTCAGTCGAAGGTATCTGCGAGACGCGCCTGGCCATGCTTGGCAGAGTGAGTTTTAACTTGCACATACCTCATACCTTCACTTAGAATTATGTATGTTGGCGTTGTTGACATCGACGCCCTCCTGAGCTCACCACGCTATTCCCAACATCTCCCGAGGCTGAGAAAGCCTTACGAAGCCCAGAGATCAGAACTCTTTCAATCTAGCTTTCCACACAATTCCAGAGCACGAGACCCTCAGCCCCTACGAGCCCGTGGCCTCAGTCAACTGTTTTAAACTCCGAAGCACCGAGGTCTCCGAGGCTTCGGGTTTAGAGCCTTGCCCTGGTTTGCAGGACTGGAGGAACAAAACAACGGTCTCCACCAAGAACTGTGTTACGTTTTTGGGGCTAGGCCTCTCGGCGAGGCTTTGCATTTGAGATGCAGGGTTAAAGGGTGTCACCTGCTCGCTTCGGCACGATTTTGGAGGTAAGCCCTGGTCAGTATTTGCCAGTTACCATCTGTGGCCTTGCTGTTTCTGTATGCGACAATACTTTGCTAATGGGCTTTTGCATTCGCAAACTCGGCAAGGTTTCATTTGCAACTATGTTTCGCCCTCCCTGCAATGGTATGTCAGTTCGGCAGTTCGCCTAGCTGGCCGCTCAGACGGAGGCAGTGGCGGAGTATGCAGCACCCTACAACATTACCTACAGTCTCTGTGGAGACAGAAGGGTCTGTTTGTGCGTGCGTGTGCGTAATTGTGCGGGCGCGGGTGCTTGCGTGTGCGAGTGTGTGTGCATGTGCATGTGTGCATGTGTGTGTGTGTGAGAGCGATAGGTTAGTGTGTGTGTGTGTGCGTGTGTGTGTGTGTGTGTTTCTGTTTGTTCGTGTCTGTGCGTGTGTGATTTTTTACTTGAGCATGTACCAGCGCATGCCTAGCCTATGTGGATGTGTATGCACATTTGTAGCTGTACATGCATACGCATTTGTGTGTACATATTTTTACAATATGCTGTATTTTACAAACGTACACACATACATACATGACGAAATGCATGCATACAGTTACATACATACATACATACATACATACATACATACATACATACATACATATATATATACATATATATACATACATATATATATATATACATATTTACATGTATATGGTCACGCCCCCCTCCCCCCACCTGTACCAATCGACTCTACGGGCTGCTTCCTTCCATACACCCATTACTCAGATATGCCGAAAGCATCGAAAATGTCGACATTACCGTGACTTTCTGCATGTCCCGGGTTGGACTTGTGTATAAATCTGGTGCCGAATTTCGGCCCCAGATAAGCAATAGTTTATGTGTTGGAGAAGCTGCAAATGCTGGAGGGTGAGGTAAGTGTGTTTAACTTGCAATGAAAAACCTCGTGCTTTTTGCGTTTATCGCGTTTTTGTGTGCTTTATTTAGCAGCAGTCCACCTGAAACCAAAAGAGCTCCTATGAATATATGTTCTGTGTGTGTGTGTGTGTGCGGGCGCCATCTCTTTCCGGTGGCGCGCGAAGCGTCCGATTGTGCTTTTGCCTAATGGGGCCTGGTGGCTTTACCGTTTGGTTTACGAGTGAGAAGACAGAGAGAGCTCCTCTCATTTACTTGCCATTATGGAGGAAAGAAGCCAAATACACAAGCGCTTGTATGATTGAATCCCAACTCCAATAGCTGTTCTTGGCTTCAGAAGATATGGGAAAACTCCCCCTGTAAGTGAAATCATGGGACTAAAAACGGCTGGCTCTCTTTGTATCAATCAGAAGTCATGGGCTCCTTATCCTTGTAAGCAACAACTCAAGATGGGACTATATGCAAGAAGGCTCCTCTTTATCTTGTGACACGACCAATGACGGCTACTAACAAACAGCCATGTGCATAGCGATCGGTGTTTGTTTTTGTGGATGCAAGACGAAGTAAAGGAAGGTTTATTTAGGCCATCCTCATACGTACCAAGCAAGAGCAATGCAAACTCCTGCTGTTCCAGAAAAACAGAAGATGGCACCTCTATTCATCGCAGACTGAAGACAGACCACAGCCATCGACAAAGGGATCGGTATCTTTTTGTCAGGAAATGTGGGAGGTAGCTTCAACGAGAGTTGATAGAAGTCCCAGGCTCCTCGCGGAAACAGACAGAAAGCGATAGCCGTTTAGTTTAGTACCAGATACCAAAGAAGCAAATTTCGTTTTGTCTGTTGATCAGATCTAGGGAGTGTCCCTTGAAGATTAAAGAGAGCTTTTTCTGTATTTGTGCTACGTTCTATGACAGGTATTAGAGAAACAACCATGGACGTAGCGACCGGTATCTTTTGCCAGGTATAAGACAGCATCAATAAGAGTTAATCGTCTCCATTGTCCTTGGATGATAGCGACATGTAAAAAGGAAATAAGACTAAGATGGACCTTCTTCATACTTGTCAAGCACAAATTATCAAAGCCTAGGGGGACCCTTGTGAATGTATTCTGTGGGGGGGGTTCGGCTACGCGGTGAGGGCCGGCCGACATGTGGAGGGGTCCCCCCCCCTTGTGTCGAACGTCCAAATCTGGGGAGATCTTCCGGGTTGCTTCAAAACCCCCCCACAACATACATTTCTCTGGTCGGCCCAGCAAAAGTTTAGCAACTTTTCATGCAGGTTTCTGCGTCACGCCCCGCCATGTTTGTGAGGGCTCGGAATGCGCTTTTTTAGTTGCCTGCGGCAAGCCATGTCGTGGCATGCACAACATCTAGTCCGAATCCAGACAAACCCGGATGACACTTGGCACACACAGAGACATCGCGGCCATGCCGCAGCCGTGACGGCGAGCGCTGGTCCGGTGTTGGTGGCGGAGTCATTCGCAGGCTTGAGTGTGTGTGATGAGGTTACTAAACGCGGGGGGGACAGAAATGGAGAGAATTGAAATGTGTATAATACATGTGTGTATATATATATACATATTTATGTACAGGCAGAGATAGATATACCGGTAAATATAGACAGGCTGTTGTCTCTGTATTTGGTCTCTTCGATCTATGGCACTACGATTCCAAAGCTCTTCCCGACCCCTCCAATGAACCCTAAACCTGTGACCCCTAGGCCTGTACGAGTCTGCGGGCTCAGTGCGGGCTGACATCTTGAGGCTGTAGGTTGGAGTAGTCGGTGGCTTTCGGGCATGCGAGAGGCTCTTACGACCTCGATTCGCACTCCTCGTTGTTTGTGCTGTTGGCCCTGACAACTCTTATCACGGTTCAGGCCTGTGGTTCAATGCTTATCATATTTCTGTATGGGTCGAAGGTTGACGGTCCGGGGCTTCAGGTTTCCATTCTTCCGTGGTCGGCATTGCGTGTGTGCTGCAAGTTCCCGCGACCCAACCTGGACCCAATATGCATGTCCAGGCAGGGTTGGCGCAGCATAAGTCGAGAGCGATGTCGTAGTCATGTGTGCGAGTCGCATTTCGGAGCTAAAAAAAAGGCCTCACCTGGCGACCCAACCTGATAGAGAGGGCTCATACCGTCACCTGGCGACCTGATTCCCCGGAGCCTCTTCTGCAGGCGGCGAAGGCCAGGGGCTCACGCCGTCCCCTAGTAGGCCAGCCGTTGACCCCGGACCCGTCCGGGTTCTTGCAACCTGTCACATGTCTCAAGCCGTCAAGGTTTCTGATTCAAAGGGATCCTTCAAGCACTTTGGCAAACGGCGTCATAGGACAGTCGAACATGTCACTTTTCCTTGCACTGGGTTTCTGGAGGTCCTTCTACGACAGTTCTTCAGTTTGCCTGAGAGGCCATGCTTAGGTGGCGACTGTGAGCTTTGTTTTTGGGCTTGTTACAGCCCCAAGCCTTCCATCTTAGGCAGTCACACCCGTTGCCGTGGACCCTAAAGCTTGAATCCTAATCCCGGCACTTATCGGAAGTTCTAGACCCTATGAACTTCGTCTGCCGAGGGCTCCGTGTGTGCCATGATCTATGATTTGACACAGGCCGGCAGGGGCTCACTGTTTCTACAGACCCAACCCTGTCCGGAAACGCATTTTGGGCCCAGGTTGGGTCTTGGGTACTCGAGATTGGTTTTGACCCGCAGCTTGTTGAGGACAGTGGAGTTAAACAGTTCGGCAAACAGGAACCGTTTCAGTGTCCACCCTGTTTGAGCAGTACTGTACATGGAAAGCAGTTCGGCAAACAGGAGCCGTTTCAGTGTGTTTCAGTGTCCACCCTGGTTGAGCAGTAATGTACACGGTAGTCGCCCGGGCAACGTGACAATGGAAGTCCGCGAGTGTCCAGACCTGGAGGGATGGACGGTGCTCAACAGAACCCATCTGCTCCCCACCATGCTTGACATCATGTTGGTGCGCCGTGCAGCGGATCGCCATGACGGTGTCGGTTTGGCACGCCCTTTCCTGCGGAGGCTGGCAAGTAGGAAGGTGGAGCTTTCCTTTGGTGTTGGCTCGGCAGCTCTGCTGGAGCAAGCCAGTCGCCGCCCAGTGCTGCAGGTAGGAGACATCGTCCGGGACTGCCAGATAGGCTGGGAGCCCACGGACGAGACGACCCGACTGCACCGGGCCATCATGGAGAAGTCCACCAAGAAGAACCGCAGTCTTCATGCATACTTCCTGTCCCGCTACACCGGAAAGGAACTGGCTCGCAGAATTGTAGCTGCAGGCGGCCGGATCCAGGGCAGCAGTATGCTGGAGATTGTCACCTGGGCATATGACTTGGTTGAAGACCCTACGGACCTCTACTCCCCCTCTTTCCGCCCGCAGTCCACCTTCCGCAACCTTGTAGCTGGCATGCGGCGACAGGAGCATCTTCAGCCGCAGGCTCTTCGTGATGTCTTCCACCTGTCTCTCAATCCTCGGAAGGTGGCAGTTAGGGATTCGGAAAATCGCTTCATCCGCAAGCGTGACGTTCTGAAGCAGCTGAAGAGCCTCCGGGGAGCAGGCCCTTTCGTTGCGAAGCAGCACCGACGGCTGCACGAGAGCTACGCTGAGACAGGGCCTGGTGCCTGCAGGTTCCTGAACCTCTGGCACGGTATGCCGGCCAAGTTTGCTGCGGCTTCCACCGCGAAGTCTGCTGCAGACTCCTTCAACGTGCTGCTGCCGCGCGCTCAGAAGGATCTGAGAAACGAGATCAATCGGCGCATCCGTGCCAGCGACGACGCCGAGGAAACGGCCCTGCTCAACAGTTTTTACCACGAGATCCGCAATCTGGACATGTTCCAGTTCTTCTGTTGCGAGTCCTTCCGGATGGCGTGGAAGGCTGCTTGAGCGCTGCGCAAATCTACGGTTCCCGGGAGCTCAATGAGCAACAGAAGATGGAACATCATCTTGCCCAGTGCCAACGTGCGTATGTCTCCTGCGCGAGCCGCCAATCCCGAGCTGCTCTCTGGACCAGCTTCCAGAAGCGATGCGTCAAGCGCCGCGGCTGACTTGGTCTAAATAGAGCCCGGGCCCAACTTCGGGATTGGTGTACTTAGACTGAGGACCCAACCTCGTCCCGAATTGCATTTTCCAGTGGGGTTGGGTCTGCGCACGCGTGCAATAAGACTCCGGACCAACTTCGGGATTGGTGTACTGAGACCGAGGACCCAACCTCGGGCCGAATTGCATTCTCCGGTGGGGTTGGGTCTGCGGGAACCAAGGGTTGGGGCTCACGCCGTCCTCCCTGCCTAGGGTCGTCGTTGGTGCCAGCGACACTGATGATGCCCCGGTTCTGCAGGCGAGGTCGTTTCGTCCTGTGAGCGGCTCCGGTGAGAAGAGGGTCTCGATAGATCTATCAGCTCCTTGCCATTCGTGTTCACGCGGGCGACCGACCCAAGATTGGCCTGGTGCTCAGCGTCTTCCGAGGAGCGCTTTTCCGAAGGCAGAATGCCAAGAAAGCCTCCACCGTGTGCAAGAGTGTGGCTGAGCCTCTCGAGTGCGAGTACTGCAGCAAGCTGCACTGCTGCCTCTTGACACTGGCCGATGAGCAGCCGCAGGATGGCACCCGGACCATCTTCGAGGCCAGCTGCTGCAGTCCGACACTTGTCTTGGACCCGATCTCCAGCCAGGGCACGGTCCTAGATCAACCCCGGCAAGGCAAGTTTCGAGGAGAGCAGGTTGAGGCTTCGCGTGGCTCTGGACTCCAGCGTGGTGTCGGCACTGCTGGCGCTACGCGCGAAGGTGCCGCCGATGGAGACTAAGAAGAAGGACGCGACTGCATGTGGCTGTGGTGTACTGGTCGGCGGAACACTTCCCACAAAATGCATTGGGGCGCGGAACATCATGGCCTATGCAGATGAGCTGCGGAAGTGGCATGAGCATGCCACAGGCCACTCGTTGCCCATGCCGGAGAAGTGGGAATGGGAGGCTTTGAAGCAGGTGGTGGCGCCCTTCATGGAGCGACAGTACACTACTTACTGTCGCTCGTGCTGGAAGGACAGCACGCCTTTGAGCTTCCAGTGCTTCGTGTTCCATCGATTCCAGAATCTGGTGCCGTCGCCGGGAAAAAGCAGCAAGATCCCGCAGTTCTTCCGCGAGATGTCGCAGGCGATGCCGGCGCCTCTCCAGAGTTGCCCAGTCGTGGCCGTTGCATCTTAATTATCTGCTGCCCGTGGGGCGAGCAGCAGCTGACAAGCGGTGGAAGCTCGAGGGGTGGAGCGAAAACAACGGCGAGGGATGCTTGCGTTTGTGATGCTGCCAGTACACGTCCTCCACACTGCCTCCAAAGCTGTAGCCCAAACCCGAAAGCCCAAGCAACGGAAACAGCAGCAGTATCAGTGCAGCACTAGCAGCAGCAGTCTGGCAGCAGTCGCGGCAGCAGCAGCAGCAGCAGCAGAGCAGCAGCGGCGGCGGCAGCAGCAGCAGCTGCAGTGCAGCAGTAGCAGCAGCAGCAGCAGCAGCAGCAGCAGTGCAGCAGCAGTAGCAGCAGCAGCAGCAGCAGCAGCAGCAGCAGCAGCAGTGCAGCAGTAGCAGTAGCAGCAGCAGCAGCAGCAGCAGCATAAGCATTCTCCTCGCATTCGCATGTCAGATGTCGCTCGCATGTCACCGTGGCAATCATGACTCTGTGCCTGCTCTTGTGCGCTGTTCGCTGGCTGTTCGTGTGAGTCTGCACATCCTTACAAACTCTTGCGTATGGGCATGGCAGACACTGCACAAGGGGCTGGAAATGTATTATGTGGGGGGGTCCGTAATGTATTCTGTGGAGGGGTTGGCGATACACGGGGAGATCTTGGACAAGCCAGCAACAGAGCCAGAAATGTAATGTGTGGGGGGGGGGTCGGGCTACGCGGTGAGGGCCCGCAAATGTATACTAGGGGGTCCCCCCCCCAACACGTACACCCTAGATCAAAGCTCTTGCTGTTCCAGGCAAATTCCAATTTTTTTTTGCATCGGCTTGGCCATTACTTCCAGGATTTAGGAAGTGTAGGAGAATTTGAGCATTGCAGTTTTTCGTGGCCTGCAGCTCGCAACACACTGTACTGCTCAAAAAATGACGAAACACTGTAATGCTCAAAAAAATCAAAAACTTTGGCTGGAATCTGGCACCGGCCTGGCCATAGTTACCGGGATTTGGAATGTCTGGATGTTTTAGCATTACAGCGTTTCGTGGGGTTTTTGGGATTTGAAATTAGAAACGTTGGAGCAGTACAGTGTTTCGTTTCCAGGCAAAACAATGTAATGCTCAAGCATGTCCAACATTTCGAAATTGGGAAACCTCAAGTTTTGTGGCATCGTGATCAGGATCCCGGTTGGGATACCTCCAGTTTTGTGGGTTCGCAGTCAAGATCCCGGCCGGGATACCTCAAGTTTGGTAGCTTCGGGGTCAAGATCCCGGCTATGACCACGAGGATACCTCAAGTTTGTGGCTTCGTGGGCAGGATCCCGGTTAAGATACCTCAAAGTTTTGTGGCTTCGCGGTCAAGATCCCGGTTGGGATACCTCAAGTTCTTGTAAAAAATTCCAAAACTTTTGGGGAGTCTAATTCCCAGAATTTGAGATCTTGTGGAATATTTCTGAGATTTACAGTGTTTCGTGAGTTTTGAGATTGGAACTGTTGGTAGTTCTTGAGATTACAGTGCCTCATGCGGCATATATATATATATACGCATACATATATATATATAGATATGTGCATATGCATATGTATATATCTATATATGCATGTGCTGTGTGTGTATGTATACAGACGCATAAGCATGCAACCGCATGGATAGCCACAACGGAAACTTCACACATGCGCTTATACATGGTTTATGCTGTGAGTGTATGTATACACGTATGTCTATCCCCTCTCTCTCTCTCTCTGCATATACGTGTGTATGCACACACATGTATGTATGTACGTACGTAC